ACATACCTACCTACGTAAGTAGATAAGTACGCGTCACCGCGTCAACCGACACGAATCGTTTCTCGCTCTCTCTAATCGTCGAGAAAGAGAATACAAGTCGAATAATCGTCCGTAGGTATGCCGAGTTTCTTCTTAAAACTCTCTCGCCTCGTCCCCTTACGACCTCTCCGGTTCGCGATCGTCGTTGCACGACGCGAAAAATCGAGAAAGATTAAGAGTCGGAGGAGAAGCGAACGCTGTGTAACGATACGATTCCAAGTATAATTAAATACGCGTTAAATAATATCCGGAGAACGAGTAGCGATATTGTATTAATTTACCAAATGTGCGCGTAATTATTCGAATTATTATAACTATCGGTCCGGTCCGAGGCGAATCTGTTCTAAAAAGCTGCGCCGTCCGTTCCGCGATGCAATTAAAGTCGAATGTAAACCGATAGGGACGCTGTTATACGAAACTTGGAGGTAATGATTACGCGAGCCGTTGTAATTTATTACCGCGTGTGTTCGTTATTCTCAATTGTAACGTAATTCGGTAATATAGCCTAATTGCGGTCTTAACAAGATCGCGTCCACGATTGTCCTTTGCGATTTCGATCGTTTCTCTTTTCGTTCTTCGACCGATGGATAGGTGAAACGAGATACGTTGAAAAGATCCATTTTCCAAGTCGTTCGGCCGAAATAAGTCACGTTATTTTTCCCCTCCCGATTCTCGCGGAAACCAGTTCGACGAATATCATTTTTTTGTATATCGCGAATGTTTCTTATTCTTTCGCTGTATCATCGCGTTTATTATAGATAAGGCGATCGTCTAAACGAACGAACGAACGAACGAACGAACGAACGAAGTGTAACGGAACGTATGCAACGGTTAAACGTCTTCGTTGTGCACCTTTCTGCAATTTGTTTCGCGTTCGATAAGCAAGATGACTCATCGAACGCTCACTATCGCGTTCTTCGTCAAATGGAACTCGATACGCGTCTCATTAACACGGGCAAACGGTGCGCTTTTGCGTTCCTTCTTTTTGTCCATTTCTCTTTCTTTCTCTCTCTCTATCTTTCTCTCTCTCTATCTCGCGCACAGCACACACACGCGCGCGCGCGCGCGCGCATTCTGAAATTACGAGAACGCGCGACAATCGAAAAGATCGAGCAACGATAATCGACGAGACGAATGGTTATATTCTTCTTCGTCGCGTTGGAAAGTTCGAGACACAAGAGTCGACTGGAAGAGAGGAGAAAGACAGAGAAGGATGAAACGTGGGATACGTCAGGCATAGCGAAGTTGCGCGAGTGTTTCTCGGTGTTTAACGAGCGTTTCTCGTTGGCAAACGATGCGGCCGGCGTTGCTTACATCGACTCCTCCGTCGTCGGGACGAAAAGGTCGAAATGAGCGAAAACCGTGGGGAAGCCGGAGAAGGCCGAAACGCAACGGACACGCACGAACGGCATACACGCGGCCGAGGTGCACACCTATGCGCGTATCATTATCGAAAGAAAGACTGGGAGAGAAAAAAAGTAGGTGAAGAGAGAAGAAAAAAAGAAGCGGTTCCGCGACAGACTTCTCCGGTACGGCGAAGGAAACCGTAGGTAATCGAGCGAGCAGAAATGCTGACGCGGATAAGGGAAACCCTTACGACCGTTTCTGGTGCGCCGGCTATTTACGATCGGTCTCGGTCTATTCCGATGGAACAACCGGAGAAGATGTATTCACCCCGTCTTCGCGAGATTTCGAAATTCTTACCATTTTTTTTTTTCTCTTCGTCTCTTTCGATCGTCGCAACGTTCTATCGAGCGTTCGTTAATGAAATTACGTAACGAGTAAAACTTCCAACCGTTCGGATATATTCTCTTTCGATCCTACTTTTTTTCTTTAAACGCCTAAGTTCAAACGCGTAATCGCTCCTCGACTATTTCGTTCCTCGCAGTTTTCGTTCCATCGATCTCTTCGTGAGGTAACTCACGAAAACGTGTAAACTCGGTTGCCAACGGAATTTCTTTTTCGCTCGTTATCTTCTCCGCACGCACGATATCGAGGAAACAGAGTCGAAACGGGTTTCGTATTCCGAGCTTTCCCAATTTCGATACTCTCACTGTTACCGTTGACCGAAAATACCACGTATCGCCTCGAGAAATACTCTTCTCGACCAAGTCTGTGAATCGTTTTTTTTTTTTTTTTTTTTTAATGCGAATCGCTCCTATTTTTTTTCCTCTTCCTTCTTTCTTTTACTTTTTCTTTACTTTTTCTCTCATTTTTTTTTTTTCTTTCCATCGTCACCGATACGGATCGCAAAAGTTGGTCAATTTTGTAGAAATCGAGGGAAAAACTCGTAATCCGGCAACGTTGCCCTCAAAGCGAGAACAGACCGGTACAGGCTGATAAAAATAAATTTGCGCCCGGAATAATCACGGAGCTCCCTAGAGATCTCCGTATGGACGGTGTCTTAGGTGCTGTTTGGCGTAGCGAGTCCGTGAGCGCGTTATCCGTGATGCGTCGCGATTTTCTTCTTAATCGCCAAGCGAAAAAAATCTCGTCACCGAAATTTCGAAATTTCGTCGCGTTTCTCATCACCGTTCTCTTCGATTCTACGGAACGAGTCGGTGGAACGGGACCCCGAGTTTTGAAAAGACGCGTATCACGAACGTGGTAGAACGCGTTGCACGAACGAACGAACGAACGAACGAACAACCGTGGAAGAGGAGAGTGGCGGAGAGCGGGAAAGACGCGTGTTACGAAACCATAGCCTGCGAGAACCGAAGGAGGAGAAGNCCGCCACCTCTTCCGTTCCCTCGCCCCTTGCCTCTTTCCCGTCTTTCGCATCTACCTTCCTACTTTTCCTTCTCTCGCTCGTTTATTCGCTTTGCCTCTTTCTTCCTCCTTTGCCGTTACTCTCTTCTCTCTTTTCCTCCTTCTCCTACTACTACACCACTACTACTACATTACTACTACTACTACTACTACTACTGCTGCTACAACTACAACTACACACTACTACACTACTACCACCACCACCATCACCTTTCCTTCCTCCGGCTCGTCGTTTCCACCTCGACGTTTGCTTCGGGCTAAAATAAAAACGCGAGGAGATAACCGTACGAGACGCGAGAGAAAGGAGAGACGTCCGACCCATCGTACCGAGAAAGAAAAGAAAGAGCAGGGAGTGTAAAAGCGCGAAGGAGCCGCGTAAAATGATCGGGGCGAAGGGAAGGAAGAAGAGGAAGAAGGAGAAGGCGGGTCGAGGGGAAAGGTATAAACGCGGACCAACTACAAGGAAGAAGGAAAAAAGCGGCGATCGCGCGAGGAACCAACCGAAGCTAGAATGTTGCATCGTTCAAAAATTGCCATTCGCGCGAACGTTCGTTTCAAAACTTTTGCGCATACTTTTTCGATTTTTCTCCGATTTGTTATATCGAAAAGAAATATATATATACGGGTTATACAATTCGAAACCAACGTTCAAACATAATCATCGCATCGCAATTCGGTGCGTATGTTTTCTTCGTGACGCGACTAATGGGCGAGTCGTTACCAATCATTCTGACAATGCGTCAAAGTTGAGTCGCAAAGTTCATGCCATCCGTGGAACTTGACGCGAAATCGTTGCACGGATGGTAACGTGGTTCGCTCGAAGGAAGCGTGCACCAGTGCACGATCAAAGTTGTCCGCGTGAAACGCGACCTTGGCGCCGAAACGCGACGTTCCATGCATTCGTTACGGTTGATAGTAGCGAAGAATGAAAGAATCGATTTTTTTTTTTTTTTTTTTTTTTTTTTTTTTTGCGCGAGAAAAGCTTAAACGGTGTTAAATTGGCGCGGCCGAAGGAATACGGCTTTGTCGAAGCCGATTCCCGGATACTTGGATCTCGTAGACCATTCATGTATTCCAAACTTATAGAATACATGAATAATACTTGGCGCAGACCAAAAAGCGACGACGAAAAAGCGAGAGGGAAAGAATCGAAAAGGAGGCTCGATCCTATCGATCTTGTTCGATTTTTATCGATGATTTAACGCGATTTATTTCGCGACACGTGATAGCGTTCGCGTTCATTCGGTTTCGAGACGCAATAGAAGGCATCGAGTGCGCTATCCCGATGAAATCGTTTACCGTATCTTTCCCGCCACGTGGCTCTTGTTGCAATCGTTCCGGTGGCGATCGTTCGCGCTACGCTAAGAATTTATCCTCGTCTCGTTGTTCGTCACGTTCCAAAGGGATAGAGAGAAGAAACGCGCGTGATCGAATCGCGAGGAAAGTTGGTCAGGAATTTGCTGGGAAACGGGTAGGCGAGAGATAGCGGATACCGGTCGAAGCGCAGAATCTAGCCTTGACCTATTGGCGGCCTCGCGTCTGGTCCAAACTTCTCGCGGTTTCGCTTCGATTCGATTCGGTTCGGTTCGGATCTCCAGAGGCCACCGCGTAAAACGCGTTTATCGCTTTCTCTTTCTCTCTCATTCCTCCGCTTCTAGACCGGACATTTCCGAATAAAAAATCTTCGTTCCTATCGCCGTGTATACATGTGTATATATATATATATATATATATATATATATAAATATATATTCGCTCACCGACGGATTTAGATTGGAGATTTTAAAGGATCGGTACGTTATCTTGTGGACGGTTATCGTCGCGACATCGATCACACCCGTCTACGCGGTGGTGGAAACAAATTGTACGGTTTAAGGAACGAGGGCACGACCGGACCTTGCGCAACGAATACAAATGCTACTCTCCCTGTCCCTTGATGGCGCGTGACGAAATTCGTAAAAAGCTCGAGCGAGAGGACGGACAGAGCATAGCGAACAGATATCCGTATCAGTGACAACGCGATAACGCTCGTTCGCGACAAAGCTCGAAATGGAGAATCATCGTTCCGTCGCATCGTCGCTTCAGAACAAAGTCCTCCACAGTTTTTCCATTTCCGATCACCGCCGACGGAAGTCGATTTCTCCGACGATCTCGCGACTCTACGATTTCCGTTGAAAGGTTTACGGACTTACAATTTATAGTGATGTTGCATGTGATGAGCCAAATGCAGTTCGGCGGGATGTTGTTGAAGTTGCTGCTGTTGTTGCTGTTGCTGCGGGTGCATAGCCTGGTGATGGTGAGTCTGCGGGGGATCCAGGCTAGAGGCACCCAGCAGATTCGCGCTCTCCCGAAACAGCGTTGCCACCTGCATCCTCGCTGATCGTATATATTATCCTTCGATTAGACTTGTCGCACCTTCTCTCCCGACAGACTCGCCAGCCTCTCTACACTTTCCGAGGAATTCAAAATAGGGAAATTCTAGGGAGATCCGAGAGAAAGATTGGAACGATGGACGAGAGTAAACAGGTAGGCAGGGTAAGCAGGCAAGTCCACTGTTCCCGACGGCTTCGCGGAGGGAACGCGAGCCGTCGGTAGGTTAGTGCGAGACGAAGAAACGCGCGCGATCTCGCGTCACTAAAAACGCTTGCACCAACAACTCACTCACTGTGGCACACTGTCACTGTCGTGAAACGTGATCTGTCGTACCGTCGCGACGACGAGACCGACGGCAATCTCGGTCGGTCGCCGACGACGACGACGACTACTACGACAACTACTACGACACGACGACGATCGCCGCGAATCGAGCGGATTCGATCAAGGTTCAATCGAGCCCCCTCGTAGTGCTGCTCGTCCTCCGATTACCGCTCGCGATCTTCCTT